GGTGTGACGATCACAGGTTCATAAATAAACTGTGTCCCCATATGTTTTTATTTCTTTCACATGCAAATTTTTATGCTACGATGTTGACAGAGTGGTCCAAGCTAATCAAAATGACTTTCCCCACCTCCCCTCCTGCTTTCTAAGACAGTAATCCTTACTTGAGTGCTCTGAGACAGACGGTCATCACTGACACGCACATTCCTGGGCCCACTGGATTAAAAAGGATACGCTCCTCTTTATTTTCCCGTTGCCATGGTGATATCTGCATCTAGAAACTCAGACTTAATCAACTCGTCGCAATAAAATGCAACTGCGCCATCTAGTGGCGCAACTGAACACACCAACAAAGTTTTTTTTAAAAAAAAAACGATAATAGATTGATTTCATTGACCTAACTTCCCATCATTATTTTGATGTGGGAAATCTTGTGGCCTTCTCCTTTTGATATGACCTATTTCTTTGAAACTTCCCTTTAGTTCCTTACAAAGTATAAATAAATACAGTAACTGATTGATTTTGATTGATTGATTTTTTGATTTTATTGATTAGCATTCAAATAGAACAAAGATCTACTACAAAGCAAGAAAGCACGAGACAAGGCTAATCAAAAGGTATTGGCTGAAGCATTTGCTTATTACGCCAACCCTTTTAACACAAGATCTTTTTGCATACAGCTCCTGTACACAGGGCTCGAAGCAAAGAAAAAAACAAAGCAAAGCAAAAACAAACAAATAAACAAACAAAAAAAAACCTTTCCACCCTAGATAAGTAACTACATCAAAGAAAAACAGTCAAGAGTTTCAGTATTATTATTTTTGCTCTTTTCATTTTTGACATTTTTGTTTTCACATGGTTTATATGAGACTTCCAACTCAGCTTATCATCAATTATCACTCCAAGAAATTTATTTTCGTACACTCTTTCAATTTCAATTCCATTAACCCTGAGTTTAGATACATTTTTCATGTGTCTAGTGTCTTTAATATATTTAACTCCTTTTCCGCTGTAGTCAGAAGCTGTTCTAGGTTTTTACCTGAGCAATACAGAGTGGTGTCATCAGCAAACAATATTTTAACAGTTTGGAAACACTACATATGTCATTTATATATAATATGAATAATTTAGGGCCCAGCACAGAGCCCTGAGGAACACCACAAGTTACCTTCAACTGCTTAGATTTTACATTATTGATTTCGACATATTGATCTATGATCCAGGTAACTTTTCATCCACTTGTATGCTATCCCTCTTATGCCATCTCTCTCTAGTTTATTCATTAATATAGAATGATCAATTGTATCAAACGCCTTTTTTAAGTCTATAAAAACACCAACAGTATATTCCTTATTATCTATAGCATTAGATATCCCTTCTACAAGTTCCATCACTGCCATCGAAGTGGACCTTTTCACTCTAAAGCCATATTGGTTATCACTTAGGAAATTATGCTTCTCCAAGTCTATTAACAAATAACTTTTCTAAAATTTTTGAGAACTGTGGGAGCAGTGATATTGGCCTGTAATTGGTAAACTGACATCTCTCTCCGTTTTTATGGATTGGAATAACTTTTGCTATTTTCATTTGTGAGGGAAACACACCAGTTCGAAAGGAAAGTTTACAAATGTATGTGAAAGGTTGCACTATATATTCTATAATACTTTTAACTAATATCGTGTCAATACCAAAACAGTCAGTGGACTTTTTATTTTTAAATGCCTTCACAATGTTAATTATTTCTCTATGAGTTACAGCACCAATAAACATGGAGGACACATGGAGGACACAAAAGAAATTCCAGAGTCAAGAAATAATAACGACTTAAATAATTAAGTTGTTATTATTTCTTGACTCTGGAATTTCTTTTGCTAAATTAAAGCCAACATTTACAAAGAAATCATTAAATTCATTTGCAATGTCTTTAGTTTTATCAAGCACAATGTCTTTATCTTTTTTTGAAATAGTCTGGATAATTCTTATCTTTTGAGCCCTTTTTGATTATATTATTTAATATCCTCCATGTTTCTTGTGTGTTACTTCTACTTTTCTCCAATAATTTGTGGTAATATTCTTTCTTACTTGTTCTTATAATATTTACTAATCTATTTTTGTATAACTTGTACTTTATTTCAGCATCTTTTGTCCTCTGTTTTATGAATCTCTTATATAGATTGTGATCCATGGCTTATTTGATCTGTGATGCTTTCTAGTGATTTCCAATAAAGGACAATGTTTTTCATATAGTGAGATTACAGTTGATAGGAATGCATCATATGCACTATTTGAATCTTCATTTGCAAAAACCTCATTCCAATTGTGTTCCTTTAAGTCCACCTGGAGGGCAGCAATGGCTCTTGTTGTTCTATGTCGTATCATATCAAATGTTTGATTCTTTTGTTTAGTTTTAATCCCAAAATAATTTTGGAAAATTGCAAAAACAGGAAGATGATCGCTTATATCAGTTATAAGAAGTCCACCTACTATTTCATGGTCAATTTTATTTGTGAATATATTATCTATCAATGTAGCTGTATCAATTGTTATTCTACTTGGTTTTATAATTACAGGGAAAAGGGAGTTACTATACATTGTACTGATGAAATCTGTTGTTTTCTGATGTCCAAATTATTTGCACTTTTTTATCATTTAGGTTGCTAAACATAGCAGCAAGTTTTTCATTTAAACTGACACTAATGACTAAAAACAGCTATGAAGCAAATGAACAGCGGAAGACATCTGTGTTTATCTATGCATTTGGAGGTATGGAGATGTCTGGGAGAGAGGGAGGTGGGCTTTTAATCAGATTGCTTAACACAGTCCTGGAGAGTGAGAGGATGTCTGATGAATTAACTGATTGGTACTTATTTTAGAAAACAAAGATGATGTTATTTTTTTCAAAAATGATGTGGCAAGAGGTTCACAAGAGCTGCAATCTCTCCCCATACTTTCAAAAATATGCACCCCTGTGGCACAACTCAAAAATAAAAATAGGTAAACAAACAATTTATTGGCCACAGTGGCACAAAAAACACATAAGATTAATAAGTGATTTATATGAAGATAACATGTTTATGTCCTTCAATGATTTGACAGTAAAGTTTAATTTGGAATGACCCGGCCATTTTTGGCGATATTTACAAATGAGAGACTGTCTGAAAGATAAAATAAAATTGTCTCAGGAGAAAAATGTCATAGAGAATTTCTTTGTACTTCCACCCTTAACTGCAAAGGCATCAAAATGGTATCATTTATGTCATTGGGTTAAAAACAACATATGTAAAAGTCTTAAAAGGGCTTGGGAAAAAGATCTGGATTGTTCCTTCGATGAGGGAACATGGGATTCAATTGTTTCTGAAAATGGGTTCTACATTAGGGAAGCTAGAGGCAAATGTATTCAATATAAAATTCTCAATAGGTACTATTATACACCAACGAGACTTTGTAAAATGGGAATCAGTAAAGACGACCTGTGCTGGAAGTGCCAAGAAGGAAAAGGTACGTTAGTACATGCTTTATGGGAATGTCCACTGGTCTCCCCAATATGGGAAAATGTTTTAAAATATATGGAGGGTTGGGTGAAACTTAAAATTACATAGATCACCAAGACTGTGCCTATTGGGGGACAGAGGTGAGGTGCCAAAGTTAGACAAAGCAGGATTTAGAGTGTTAAACACTGGGATTGTGACGTGTGTTCGTCTCATTTTAACACTTTGGAAAGACCCTCGGACTCCAACCCTAAAAAAGTGGAAGGAGAAAATGACTGAAAATGCCGCATGTGAGAAAATGCTGGGAAGACTGAGCAGTAAGACAGAGACTCTAACAGAACAATGGGACAGTTTTTTGGTTTATATGGGCCTACAACATGAAGACAATGTGAGATACAGTATGAATTAAGACTTAACTGTGTGTGCAACAGTTTATCTATTCATTTATTCATTTATTTATTTATTTATTTTATATATTTATTTATTTTTCTTCGCTGAGTGTGTTTTTTTGTTGTTTTGGGTTGTTATGTTATGGTTTTCTTAATTGTTCAAAATAATAATAATAAAAAACTTTAATTATTAAAAAAAAGAAAACAAGGATGATGTGCAGACCTGGAATAATTACAGAGGGACAAAAGTGATGAGCCATACCATGAAGATATAGGAAAGAGTTGTTGAAGCTAGGTTGAGGACAGAGGTGATGATCAGCGAACAGCAGTATGATTTCATGCCAAGAAAGAGCACTGCAGATGAGATGTTTGTTTTGAGACTGCTGATGAAGAGTAGAGAAGGTCAGAACGCCTTGCTCTGTGTGGGTGGGACTACATCGGATATTAGCTCTGAGCTCTTTCTTGTTTGCATTGGTGTTGGACAGAATGACAGATGAGGTCAGGCAGGAGTCTCTATGAACTATGATGACAATGAAAGTAGGTAAAAGGTGGAAGAAAACCTGGAAAGGTGAAGATATGCTGAATTAAACTCAATAGAAGCAGAAAGGGGGCATATATCCTACTAACCTGTAACAATTGTGATACTTGCTTCTAATAAAAGATATATGAAACATAAACTCAATAGAAGCATAGCAGAAAATGTGTGTGAATGAGACCGAGACAGGTGTAATAGTAAACATGGAAGGAAATTGCAGGCCAGGTGAGTTGAAGCAGGTGGAGACAAGCACCAGGGGTGATTTTTCACAAAAGGATAGCAACAAGAGTGAAAGAAAAGATTTACAAGGCGGTAGTGATGTATGGTTTGAAGATGGTGACACTGACAAAAAGAACCATTCAGCCATTAGTGAAACACTTTCCATTAACATAACAATCCAAAGTAGTAAACAGTGCAGTGGGGGTGTTTAACATAGATATATAAGAAACAAACGTCATTGTTCACAACAATAAAAAATTAGACATATCTATTGATATTATCCCGAATTTCTAAATTAGTTTTTATGGAAGCAATGACAGTGTGTAAGCAGGGAGGTTCCTGTACGTGTGCGTGCTTGTCGTCTTTTGACGCGAACGCGCGCGTAGCTGTCAGTAGGAAATACAGGCTGTTCGTGTCTGCCGAGCCCCTGCGGCTGTGCCTGGACATCTGATCACAGAAAGTCGGCCTATTACAAAATGAAAATTATCACTTACAGACTCGCTTGACTTTGGTGAGAATGCGTCGAACAAGTGCGCATGTGTAACCGCGGTACCGAGGCATCCCGCTAGCTAGCACGGCTAACAGAAACAGAACACTATCGGGGCTAATGCTAATAGTTAAATAAGCTAACTTAGCTAGCTGTTAACTTAGCTAGCTAGCTCACGGATTGCGGGACGTTTGTTCTCCCAGCTCATCTCCCCGTTCAGCGGTTCCTGCCCCTGTGTCGCCTTTTCGTGTTCTCATTAATTGGATAAGGTTACGGAACCGGAGCTGTGGCGGGGGGACGAGACGACAGGAACCCCCTGGCTGGCTATCCAGGCGGACCGATCACAGTGACACGCCGGTGTGGGTGAGTTGAAGAGTGGAGTTGAAGTTATAGTTGATAGGGGGGCAGCGGGGTGGACAAGGCCTGTGGACGTTGCTCAGCTGGGGCCTGGCAGGGAGGCAGGGTGGGTGTTAACTATTAGCTGCTCGTAAAATGTTGCCTTAGCGCGCTGAATCGGGAAGTCGAGTCGCTTGTAGCAAGGCCTCTTGAGAGGACATAACAACACAGTGACTGTGACTATTGTGGTGGTGTTATTAGCTGCTAGCTCGTAACACATAGCTGTCTGGAGAAGCCACCACAAACATGAACCTGCTCCATCAGCAAAAAAGCTGGATCACCATGGTTGTCCGTCCGCTTTGTTGAGTACCAGTGCACTCGTGCATGTAATGAGGAAATTGCATTTTCTGGGACACTGGCTTAATCATCGATTAAGTACATTTCTGATGTATTTGCTAAGAGTTTTCATTTTTGTGTGTTTTTTGCCGTGAGCCTTTGTGTGACTACAAATAAGAAGTTCCTGAATTATGTAGACACACCACTATCACTTCACTGTACAATATAGGCTTTCGTGGCAAAAGAGGAAATGTAGCTTCGTGTATCTATTGGTGTTAGGTTTATGTTGATAGCACACTTGATGTTATGAGGGAAATCTGGGATGGGCTGTGAATCTTTTTATAGTGAATGTATTATATTAGTTTAAAAATAATATTAATTAAAAATTTTGACTCATTCTTAAACTGCTTCTGTTTTAAGAAGAGTTGCAAAGGAATTGTTAGAAGTCTGTTTTCATACACTTTCACACCCATGTTTTATTTTATTATTGACCCGTTGCTGTTAAGATTTGTGTCTTTATCCCTCTGTAGAAGCATTATTTGTGTAGCTGTGAGTTTAATATTATTACAATTAAAATTCAACTGCTTGTCTTTCTTTTCTTTTTCTAAAGGAGAGAGTGGAACCATGGCTGAGCTTTCCACCTTATCCCCATCCCCACCTGCTTTGGGTGATCCTCATGCAGCTCCATCTATCCCTCCGTCATCACCAGGGCTTCCTCCACCTAACAGCACTGCTACAGAGTCTCCCAGGGAGGTGTCCATACCCAAGTCTTCCCTTTTTAATGACAAAGCTTTGAGTGGAAAAACTTCTGCAGTACTGGCAGGGGGGTCCCCCTTGATTCCCCGCCGATCCTCAAATCCTCCCGACCTCACAGCTGAGGCTTTCCTTCTATCATCGGTACAGGAGCCTGCTCCAGGGAATGAAGAATCAGCAGGAAAGCCACCAGCTCCAAGCGAAGTGGCACAGGCGTCCCCCTCTCCTGATCTAAATCCTGGTCCTAACCTATACCCTAACCTGCAAGTCACCTGTAACCCAAATCCTGTTGTAGAAGAAGCTCAACTTAAAGTGGGACAACCCCAGACGACTGCAGGTCCCAATCCCGCACCTGCTCCTCCAGTCTTATCATCATCAGCAGCTGAAGGAGAAAAACCTCAGCCGCTCCAAGAAGCACAAAATGCTCCAAACGAGCCTCCACCTTTGTACCCAAAGCCTGGTACTCCCAATGAAGCCAGGATGGGAGAACTGCCTGCTACTCCTACCAGAGCTGAACCCCACAGCCCACCACTCCCCCTGATCCAAGAGCCACCGTTGTCCTTCGCTCTACCCAAACCCCGGCCGGCACCAGACACCCTCAGTTACCTTGAGTCAGCCAGTCTGATGTCTGGAACTTTGGAGTCTCTGTCTGGACTGGGAGAAGATGGCAGCTCCGTGGGGTCAGATTCAGAGATTAATGGCCTAACTGTCAGACGCACTGACAAGTATGGCTTCCTAGGTGGGAATCAGTACAGTGAAGGGGGGTAAGTACACATTAACCAGTCACACACACTCCCAGCTACTGTACAAAAGCATGTGCTGTGCCGCTGTGTAATATTAATATTTTAAACAAAGCATAGCAAAAATCTGCTTTTTCATGCTTAGCTTCACTGCAGGTGGATCACTATTTGTAATATGAGACACTATTAAATCATGACCACAGAATTGGTTTACTCAGAAAAGTGTAACTCTTGCTTGACTGTTTTCCTATGGCCACTTTACACCATCTGACTCACAGAGATCCATCCCAGCCTCCCTTTCCTGCCTTCCTCTTCTTCTATGCTACTCTAAACATATCTGTCTGTCCTTTATCTCCCCTTGGTCTGACTCAGATAGTGCTGAGAGCGCTTTTGTGACTCATTATGTACTGACTCTGTCTGTGTTGTATTTCCCATCGCACCCATCTGCTCTCTTCCTCCCCTTTTTTTGTCAGATTTGCTTTTACTTTTCTGGCAAGCTAATTGCTCTTCCTCTGTTGAATAATTAAAGTCTTATTGATTTGCCCTGGGTGTCAGTGCCAGTCAATTCTTGCCATTGTTCGTGATTTTCTGTGAGTTAGCAAAATGTTCTGCAAATTGAGGCAAGCCATTCGTGTCGTTAGATTCAAGTGCTCAAAGTGTAGTTTTTAGTGGTATCAAAAGAACAAAGAACTTCCTCATTCTGTCAGCATAAAGTCATTTTATATTACTCACTATTGCAGTGAAAAGGAAGTTCGAATTGAAGTTGCACGACAGCGGGAGATGAAATGGATTGACATGTTCTGCCACTGGGATAAGTGGGTCAAACATCGCTTCCAGAAGGTACACACACAGCAGCCTTTCAGTATGTGATGGTAAAAGTGAGAACAGAACTGCTAAAAAATTAAATAACAGAACAATCAAGTCGCACATCTGATCTTTATTAATGAAACATTCAAGTTGAAAATCATTATTTATAACGTCACTGCTGCCAGTAAAAACTAGAATCACACACACAGAACCCCCCCCCCCACCCCCCCCAAAAGAACATATAGTATGAATTAATGATGGGTAAACATTATGTCAGAGCCGATGGCCTAAATGTCTGCCTTACAGGTGAAGCTGCGCTGTAGGAAGGGGATTCCATCCTCTCTCAGAGCAAGAGCCTGGCAGCTGCTGTCCAACAGTGAGGAGCTTCTAAGAGACAACCCTGGGAAATTTGAGGTATCACAGTTGTCATGTCATTTTTAGCACTAATGAACTAGTTTTCATTTATTCAATGTAGAAAGTGGAATAAATACAAATTATTTGATCTCTGTTATTCAACTTAATTCTCTTTCAATTTAAGACAATTGCAGCTGGTTTGAAAACATTTTGGGAGATATCTTTAGTATTGACTAAGTGGCTTGTAGTGGGGCTGAGAAGGCCACTTGCAGCTCCAGGAGTGCTAAAGGGGCGCAGGCGCAGGCCTAGTGAGCAATAAGCCTCTTATCAGGACCAGTAATCCTGCCTGTTGATGCCCTGCCCCTCTGAGAGGGTCTGGCCTTGACTAGGCGGTGTCCAGCCATTTACTAACTTATTGTTCCTCTTATCTATGAAAGAATTTCTTTGCCAGCTTTTTTATTTTTAGTTAATAATTAAATGTCCTGTATAATCCACTTTTATGGCTAAAAAATAATTTCCAGAGAATTTATTGATAACTTTTTTGTTTGTTTGTTTGTTTTCTCTTTCGCTACAGGAGCTGGAGAGAGAGCAGGGAGAGGCTAAATGGTTGGACATTATAGAGAAGGATCTCCACAGGCAGTTCCCCTTTCATGAGATGTTTGCTGCTCGCGGTGGCCATGGGTAAAACAATAAACACAAACACAGTCTATTTTATACCAGAGGAACCATGGCATGCAGGATTGATTAAAAAAGGAACACCATGCACTCTGCACTACTTGGAAATGATTTGATCTTTGTAGCTGCGTATCAGGGCAGGGTCACAGTAGGATGTTACTATATCTGTCGGTAAACATTAAGGCTGTGCCATATAATAATATCCTGAATAAAACACAGAATCACAATAGCTCATTGAAAAAGGACTAATAAAAGCTGCTGGCTGTGGGTCTGCAATCAGCAATAAAACATAATTTTTTTTTTTTTTTTTTTTTTTTTAGGCTTTATCAAAAACTTTTGTTATTGTTTTTTAGGGAAAATTGGCTTCCACAATAAAACAAATTGGATTCGATTAAAGGCAGAATCAAAGATAGCAGTAATAGTGATATCAGACATTCAAAGATGAAATGAAAAAAAAGGGTAACGTGACAAAACAAAGCCAATGAACAAAACAAATGTGTACTTTAAAAAGATGTTTGAAGTAATCCTTGTATAGAATAATTAATATTCTTTCATTTTCTTTCAAGTTTATTGAAAGAAATTATTTATTATTATTTATGTAATTTTTTTTTTTGAATAGCTCATGAACTGGAGGTAACACCCAAGTTCCCCTCGTAAGCCACTGAATAATTGTCATGCTTGTTCTTGCAGGCAACAGGATCTGTACCGAATCCTCAAGGCCTACACCATCTACCGGCCCGATGAGGGTTACTGCCAGGCCCAAGCGCCGGTGGCTGCAGTACTGCTCATGCACATGCCTGCAGAGGTGAGGGGTGGAATGGTTAGGGTACTGTTTCTCATTAGGTTTTGAGTGTTAGTTTCACAATGATGACTTCAGAAGCGTGATTTCTTGAGAAAGTCTCATAAATATATGAACAATGACTTGTGGTGAAAGTCTGTTTTTACTACAAAAGAACTAAAATAAATGCAGGTACGTTAAATACCGTCCAGTTTACTTTTGTCCTCCATATCTAAACATGTATCATTTGAAGCAGTGTTTTAAATCCGGTGTGCAGCGTTTGTTTTCACATAAGAGAAAAAAAGGAAACTGGATGAATTGACGCATTGGATGATGAGTTAATCTTACAACCTTTAGCTATGTGTGTGGTCAGACTTTCTTAGAAATCAGGGATGTTTTGTTTTAGCCTTGGTCTTTCTATTTATTCCTCCTCTGCTGACACGTTAATAAAGAGAGGGCGCGTGACAAAAGAGAGTAGGCAGAGCGAGAAAACAAAACGCATCTGAAACGTGACTTTATTTGGTTGCTATTTCACTGGAAAGTCTTCTTAATTAAAAATAGGAGACCGAAGAAGCCTAAAATGCTTATTGCACCGCCCCTAACCCATATTACAAGGTGACATCATTTCTTTCTGTGACCTCACTTCTGTCCGCGATGGAAACAGCGTGGGCTGATGTTTTTACAGTATTGTGACCACGCCTGCTTAAATGTTACTGTCGCAGTGTGAAATCTAAGTTTGCTCATTTCTTTAAATAAACAGGTGAGCGCGAACTGTGTTATGTAAGGCTTGTTTTCTCACGTCAGTACCTCATAGCAAACTGCACCTTTATCTCTTTGTCACAATTAGACTTGTAGATTCTTTTTCAGATAATGCTTTCTTATGAAACCAACATCTATTTAAAGCTGGGCAAGCTGATTTTTGTTTGTTTGTTTGTTTGTTTGTTTGTTTGACATAAAAAGATGTATTCAGGAAATGATTGATGTTGTTCAGTCGAGTTTTGCTCTTTGTTTTAGTGGTTAATGCTTTAATATTAAACACACTTGCTTAGCAAACACATGTAGCAGCAGAGGGCATAATAATGCACATATCTGCTTTAAACGCACTCGGATTATACTCAATTGTGGTTACAACACTGATGAGAAGTTCTACTTTTTATATTGTTTCTTAGTATTTTGCAATCTACTTGTAGTGTAGTGTCCACATAGTCCTCTCCCACACTATAATAAGTCAGAATATATTTGTTTTTCAATCTACAATTTATTGTTTGCTGTGCAAGCCTTTAACTTTTCTTTCTCTTTCACAGCAAGCGTTTTGGTGCCTCGTCCAAATATGTGAGAAATATCTTCCTGGCTACTACAGTGCAGGGCTGGTGAGTGAATAAACATGTATTGCTAGTCTGTTACACAGTTATCTCAGTTTTAATAATTTTGTTTTATTTATTTTTTTCCTTTAGGAAGCGATTCAACTTGATGGCGAAATCTTTTTCTCTGTGCTGCGTCGCACGTGTCCAATGGCGTATCGTCATCTTAAGAAGTTCAAGATTGATCCCATTCTCTACATGACGGAGTGGTTCATGTGCATCTTCTCACGCACTTTACCATGGTCCTGTGTCCTGCGTGTATGGGACATGTTCTTCTGTGAAGGTACCGTTAATATCTACAGGTTTCATAGCCAGTTGGCAGCGCTTTTGTCTGTTTAGTGAATTTGATCCATGTACCTCTGTTTAGAAATTACTTGCAAATGTGCATGAAACAGTCTGACCTTAAATATCCAATCCGATTTTATTTATAAAGCGCTTTAAAATATTAAATAAGTTAAGAACAATAGAATAAAATAAAACGGCAAAAAAATAAAACCCAAATGCATCAAATTAAATTTAAAATGTAAATAGCAGGTACTTTACGACCAGCAACCTGATTTGATTAAATGCAGGAGCTGTAAGAATGCAGCATTTTACTGTTTTGTTTTTTTGTTAAATAATTTTTATTTTAATCCTGTGGAAAAAGAGAAAAAGGGTGTTTTTTCCATCTCTGTATTTTCGCTATTGGATTCTGCTGTAGTAGTTTTTCATGATCCACCATTCAAAGTAACCCACGTTTATCTGGCGCTGGGGCTTTTGCAGTCATAGTGTTCATCCTCTTCAAGCTATTGTAGCTCCCCTTTCTCCTCCCTTTAAAGCTGCTCTATTCAAAAATGCTCGAAACGTGGCGGTGTGGCTGCAACCACAGATGCCCCGCCCTCTTCTGTGGTCGCAGCCAGAGCGGTGTGCCTGAGATGACCATATTAGGAATATCAGCCCTCATTTACATCGTACGCAACCAAGAATAGAAAATGTCTGTGTCCTCAACTGTATCGGTGTTTATGACTTGTGAAAATAAGAAAATGCATAATTATCCCCTTTAACAGAACTTTGAGAACTGCTTTTTTTTTCTAGATCTAGTTTTTCTAGATTGAAAGAAACCTAACTTAAGTGTCTGTGTGTAGGAGTGAAGATAGTCTTCCGTGTCGGCCTGGTGCTGCTGAAACAGATGCTTGGTTCTGTGGATAAACTTCGGGAACTTCAGGGCATGTATGAGACCATGGAGCGTCTAAGAAACATCTCACCCGACACTATCAGAGAGGACATATTGGTACAGGAGGTCAGTGCTTATGGAGGCCGTGTACATAAAGCTTGTTTCTGTTTTTACTCAGAGACACGAGTTATTAGTCATTTTATCCTGTTGTGGCTCATCTTGTTATCCTCACTTCCTCTGTCTGTCTCTACTTTGTCTGATGTTTTGTTGTCCAGATCGTCGCTCTCCCAGTGACTGAGGCACTCATAGAGAGAGAGTGCAACATTCAGGTGAGGAAGTGGAGGGAGTCCAGAGGGGAACTTATGCACCAGCCGGGACGCCGCCTTCACGGTACAAGAGCTATCTTTGAGTACAAACGCAGAGCTGCTTCCATCAGCTCTGGTGGAAGCTTCTCTTTCCTAGGAAGCTCGATCCCACCACCAGGACCCCTCAGGGCCTCTTCCAGTTTGCTGTCACTCCCTGGCTTCCGCAAATCTAAGGCTCCTTTCCACTCCCACGCCAAGAAGGGCTCCTTCTCAGGGCCGTCAGGATTTGAGGGCTTTCCACCTCCGTCACCACCCGCAGTAACATCGAGCTCGAACCGAGGGCCCAGCCAGAAACCACCTATGCCCCCAGGGGCAGGTCATAAGGCAGCACCGCAGAGCCCCTTAGTATCAAAGGTGGCTAGTTCATCTCATGGTCCTGCTCCAGCCTCAGAGAGCACATCAGCACAGGGCGAGCCTGCTTCTTCGGCCCCAATGCAAAGCACACCACAACCCCCCACTACTCTGGCCCCCTCTCCTAAGATCGTCTCGGAGCAAATTACTCCCACTATCCCGTCTCCTACTGCAAACAACACCCCTCTGCCCCCATTACCAGATTCAAAAAAAGAAACTGCACCTCCATCAGCCGATGCCGCAAATGTGGAGGAAGAAGGAAAGAAGAAGAAGAAAAGCAAAGAGGACAAGAAGAAGGAGAAAGAAGACGAGAAGAAAAAACAGAAGGAAAAAAAGGAAAAAGAAAAGGCTGAAAAAGAGAGGCTCAAAAAAGAGAAAGAGAAGCTAGAAAAAGAGAAGAAGAAAGGGGGCAAGAAAAAAGACAAAGGAGGAGGAGGAGGGGATGCAGAGGACAAAAATGGAGCTGCAGCAGCGAAAGAGTCGGCCTAATTTTCCACCTCGTCATTCCAGGATAACAAAAAAAGGGAGGCTGAACAAACAAAACAACACAAAAAAGAGGTCAGGGGAACAAAAGATCCCCAAAAACAGTGACTAATATAAAAATGGGATGGCTTCCTATATAATGCATCATTTCAAGGATTTAAAGTAGTGTAAGGACTATGTTGGAGAAAACTGGATCATGGTTTCAACAGCACTTTTTGCCTCTTGTGAGATGGGACAAAATTTCCTTTTTTTCTTTCTTTTTTTCCCCAACTGGAGCATGGACTGTGAAACTTTTTTTTAATTATTATATATATAAAGGATTGCAGTCACTTTCTGTTTTAGTTTTTTAAATTCTTTTTTTTTCCTCTTCTTTTTTTAATTATTTTAATTAAACGGATGGCAGTGGTGTGAGGGGAAAATCATCTCAAACGCTTGCAGAAGTTGTTACGGTGCCATAGAAAATGTAAATAAAAGGTCTACCTACGATACATAGGATCGTGTTAACACTCCAAATGCCCCGTCGCGTCTCATCTGATGAAAAGGGTTATTTGGGGGAGGGGAGAAAACGGAAATAAATCATTTAAAGTCTCAAACGCAGGCACTGAAGACAGAAATGCTAGTAGTATTGTTGAGGATGTATTTATTGTCACGTTTAATGTTGTCTGTGCCTTAGTAGTGTAGTGAAATGTGTCAATGTGCTTTGTGTGGCCTCCCTTTTTTGTTTTAAGTCAAACTACCATTGAACCCCTTCTGTGTTTTCAAACTTTTACTAGATTAGATTAAAAAAAACAACAAAAACAAAAGAGGGGGAAGTAGAGGAAAAACCATACCTTGTAGTCTGTTAGTGACGGCAGTGTTTTAATGGGTCACTCTTTTTTTTTTTTGTGTGCGTTTTGGATAAGCAGGTAATGTTTTTATTTCAGGTTTTAGGGGTTTTTTTTGTTGTTGTTTTTTTCAAAGGTTAAAAAAGGAGGTACAACATTATCAGTAAATTGCTTGTGTGCTAACATGCAAGCAGTATCTGTGCACAACTCCTGCAGACCAAATATCCTTCTGTGAGTTTAGTATTATTTCAGTTTCATTGAACAAAATAGTGTGCACAGGTATGGGGTCCTTAACTCATTAGAATGTGATTTCAATTATCGTAAGAGAATGAAGAATTTTTCTTGTTTTTTTGTTTGTTTGTTTTGGGTTTTTTTGCACTTGTCATTTTGTCACAAAGCACCACTGAAGGTGACCACTCCTTTAGTGCGGTGACATGGAGAACAAGCGTCTCAGCAGGCTGGTTTCAGCCTTGTGGACCTATAGGAAGCCACTTGACTGGAGGTGCCAGGTGTGCCAATGTAGCATTAACCTCTGATCTTTGACCTTTTGGGCTCTGATGTATTTATGTAAAAAGTGGTTAATTTAATCAAATATAGTATATTATGAATTATTATTATTATTTTGGATCTGAGTATTTTTCTATCTAAGTGAGAGACACCTGGTTGACTGGAATAGAGGCTGACTACACAGCGTAGTTGCAGAGGAACTGTTCAAAGTCTTTTATTTTTATTTCATTTCTTGTTTTCTTTTTTGTTTTCTTTTTGCACATTAAGTCTTCAGCTTCAGCAAACTCAATGCATGTCTTTTGGTTTACTTTCACTGTTGGTTTGGTCAGCTTAGGTTCACGAGTCTCCAGTTTACTGAAGTGCAGTATTAACAGACTTGAGTGTGGGGGGAAAATGAGCCTTAGATTGAGAGAACAACCTTTAGAACGATTGACTTTGGCAGAATATTTAGGAACTGAAGGTCTTTGTACTGTGTCATATACTAAAAAGTGGTTTTTAATTGAACATCTTAAGTACTTCTGTCTCACCAAGTTGTGTTGTAACATTCATAATGACTTATGGACTAACTCCCTAATGTATTTACACTCAATGTTCTGTACTGTAACATATTTATGCATACATTAAGTGGCGCTGAACCCTGTCAGTATATGATGAATAGTGCCAGGTAGTTAGTGTAAACCATTTGATGGCAAGAAAAACAAACATTGATGCTCTTTAGCTGTACTGTTTGGTAGTTGATGATTAGAGGGACTTTCGTGTACTTGTAGCCAACATGTCCTCCATATTCATCGTTTTCCCACTTGTTTCAGGTCTTCACAGGGCTGTCATTTATATATGAATATGAATATCACACACACACACTCTTTCCCTCTTCTGTTTCGACGGCAGCGCATTATAGGCACAGATTAAGTGTAGTGTTTAGTGTGGATAATCTGAACACATCTATGCAAACTTTGCTTCATCATGACTGTTGGCGTGTGTCTATGTGGTGACAGCAGCACTGATTTTACCTCGTGCTGATCTGAGTGGTGCCGTCAGGGGGTGGGGGAAAGGATTTTGTGCTTCACCACATGTTTTGTTTTTTGTTTTTTGTTTTTTTTTTCCTTTCCTTTAACACTTTCAGGCCCGCGGATTATGGTATTTATGAGCAATATGTCCTCGCAGCTCACATCTGGATGATGGTGTCGTTTGTCTTTGTTCAGGGAGCTGGAGGTGACGTGATGATCAAATGAATCTGACACTAGCTGCTCTTTGCTCTGCTCTGCAATAGTGACAAAGCCTATTTGTATCAAGTCCTTTGTGCATTTCTCCATTGACCCTGAAGCTGTAATTCTTAAGTACATTTCATTGGGAATAACTCAACTGATGCAAACATTTCAAAAAAGGAAAATGTCTCAGCTGTGTGGGTTTTTTTTTTTTCTTTCTATGCCGTTACGTCTTTAGTGTCTTTAAGTTTACATGTCACTCTCTTCTCTGGCGAAAGTGAAATAAAATCATAGCTAATTGAATTCATTCCTTCAGATCTGCAACTGTTGTATTTATAATTAATGATGATAATGACATTTGTGATGAGTAATAAACCATAATATATTAAATCACTTGGGTAATGTTTTTCTTTTTTGGTGTGTGGCTTACATGTTTGGAAAGATTAAAAATCTAGGCTGGATTTAAATAACCAGCATTCAATTTTGAAATTAAGAGTCGTCCTCGTCTGTTTTTATTTATAATTGTTTCAGCCATATTTGGCAGGACGAAGCTCCACCAGATGTTACCAGATGGGTGACTTTTGCTGCTCAAACCCTGCCCCACAAAGCCACTGAACAGACACACTATTGTACAAAAGAAAAGAGATTTTATTCAGTTTTTTTCCCTTTTATTCATTACAGGAAAGGTGAGGAAGAGTCCAGTCACTGGATTCAAGTCAGCTTATGGAAAAAAAAAAGGTGATTTGTTAGTTGCTAGAAGGAGGGGAGGGAAAGGAATCGAAGAATTGAATGTTTTCTTTCGGCCCTTTCTCTCCTCTCCTTCAACCTTTTCTTTCTTTTTTTTTTTTTTAAACTTTTCAAATAAATTAAGTTTCCATCACTTTAATGAGGTAACTTTTTCCTAATCTAACCTGCAAATTCTCTGTCCCCACCTCCTCTACTCAGAAGGACATCTTCAAAATTTGGAATGAAGTCCTCATGCTTGGTGTGTCCCTCCAAATAATGTGTTCCTCTCAGATACCGAGGGAAGCAGAGGGGACGCGATTCATTCACGCTAAAGCACCTTTGAGGCTAGTGACCGGCCACACAGAGACGAAGAGGTGAGACGACAGAAGCTGTTTGCACGGAAAGAAAAGTTGGAAATGATGTTACAGGATCATTTTTATTATTAATAATCATCCTTATTCCCCATAAGCAAACATAGACATCCCTCGGGCATCAGTCATCTCATGTGTCAGTGTGACAAGTCTTTGGTTTAAACATGAGCGGCTGTGCACCTGGGCTTACACAGAAGGTGAGTGGGAAGAAAGGAGGAAAGAAAAGGACAGGGAAGGCAGAATAGCAAAGGGATTGTTGTCTTTCTTGTCTTCTAGCTTTTTCTTTACTCCTCCTTCTCCTCTCCGTGTGTGATGACATAGCAGATGTTCTTGTAGTCTACGTTGCCAGCAACATCAGGGGGGAAGGCGGCCCACATGTTCTTAATCTGAGGGAGAAAAGCAAAGTTGGAAATTCACCACATTGAGAAAGTAGCATGGTCCATAATTAAATATTTGGTCCATCAGTAAAATAATCTCTCACTGAAGAACAATAATAAATTATATGTTTAAAGGAACAGAAAGGATTTGTTTTAAAGACTACAAAAATCGTCTATAAATAGACTTGGGTGTACATTTTTGTCAGTAAAGGGAAGACCCATCCCAAATATCCAAAGAAATCTAGATTAAAAAAAATAGAACTTTTTAACTTACTTCTGTTAAATTATTAAATAATTTCTTTAATGTTAATTAATTTTATTTCTTAAAGATAGGCTGAGTAACAGTATACAGTAACAACATCAAAGGGCCATTGTGCCAAAATGTGGAATTACTGATTTTACCTCCTCGGCGGTGAACCTGTCGCACTGAGTGGTCAAGAGCTCCTGAAGGCTGGAATAGGTTAAAAAAAAAAGATTTTAATCTGAATTCTTTCCACTTGGATCAACATAGAGGATAAAAGAGATTGTTTTAAAAGTCCTCACAATTCCTTCTTGATGCTTCCAGAAGCCTCGGGGTCCAGGACTTTAAAGGCGCTAAGAATAACGTCTTCGGGATCAGCACCTGGTGAGGACAGGGGGTCGGTTACACAGTGTTAGCGGGAAAATATGCTAGCATTAGCACATAACTGTGCATCATGTGTTGGCACCCCTTTATCTGAAAGCACTTAAAAGGAAATCAGGGAACTTTAGCGCCAGTGTAATGTAAGTCATTTGGTGAAAATGGGATTCCCACCCTTCAGCTTCTCTCCGAACATGGTGAGGAAGACGGTGAAGTTGATTGGGCCGCTGGCCTCTTTGATCATGGCCTCCAGCTCCTCATTCTTCACGTTCAGCTGGCCTGAAGAGCACAGAAATTAAAATAAAGATGAGAGAGAGCGTGAAGTGAATTCGCACATGCTTTCTGGGGTGTGAATTGCTTCCATTTGGACTCACCCATTGAGGCCAGCACGTCCCTCAGGTCATCTTTGCTGATGATACCATCTCTGTTCTGGTCAATGATTGTGAAAGCCTGGAAAGAAACGCTTGGGTTTAGTATTGGAAGGAAACACTTGGGGCTGATGCGGTCTGTGTGGTTGGGCGGGATCAGACCTCTTTAGGCATTTACGAACTCCTCTGTCAATAGTTTGTTCATTAAAGTGGCAGCTGGTAAGAATCTTTGACACACAAATGACGATAGACGATACTGTGTAAGAAAGAACCTTAGTGGGCTTTTGGTGGCAGGAGGGGGTGTTTAATCCCC